ATCTGTTAATTTCCCAGTCTGCTCTAGGACCCATTATGCTTTAAACAGAACTCTATGTTAACTTGAGAACAGTTTGCTGGCATAGATGTGCATCAGAATCATCATCTCTCCCTCCAATTTCAAGATAAAATGTTTTCAGAAGAGAAAGGGTCCATTTATATCCTCTGGTTAACTGAGACCCATGTCCTCTGCCTCTGGCAAATAAAATGTTGAATTTCTCATCAGCATTTAAAAGAAAATGCAGGATTTGAGTATGGATCAGGGAAAGCTGATTCAAAAGCACATAAACCATCAAACTAGTCAATGCTATTGTAAGTCATCATTGTCAAAATGATCTTTGGCATACCAACATCTGAGAGAAGAATCTTCTGCCGGCTTATGCGATTGGCGATCTGTGTGTTCATGGGTCATTATAGCCTTGTTCTGAAATGTGGACTCCAATGGAAGCAAATCGATATGTCATAATCCATATGTTAGCCTCCACAGAAACTGTATGGGAGTTATTTTAATATTTCAGTCCCAGAAGAACTTTCCTTTCCTTATGAAGTGATACTTCCTTATTTTTATTTATTTATTTTTTTCAACGCACCCTCTAGCTGGGCTCAAGCCCTGAATCACATGAGCATGTTGGGACAATGGCTGCCCTTTGAAGCACTGGGCTTGGCGGTTTACCAAGAACAAGTGTATTTACTGTTTTCTCATACCATTGAGTAACCCACTGTCCAGAACATTCTGTGTTGAACATTAAAAATGCTCAGCATCAGTTGGATAAAGTATTGGATTTAGAAAATGTCTACTGTAAGAAACTGGGTGTCAGGTGATATAAAAACTACAACTACCATGCTGGGTATCTAGTTGTTAAAAACAGGGTATACGCTGTTAGAACATAATTGACTGTTACTGGAATACTGGGAAGTTGGTTGTTAAAACACTGGCCATCACTGAGAGAAGCCCAGGCATTCTGAACATTGTGCAACTGTTATTTTTTTTTAACTTTTTATTTTATATTGGAGTATAGCTGATTAACAATGTTGTGATAGTTTCAGGTACACAGCAAAGCGATTCAGCCATACATTCCTTATTTTTGATGGTTGGCTGTGTTCCTCTTTTTGCTTTGGTTGCCAGGAAGCTCATAGGGAATTTTGACACTTTATCAGACCATTTATATCCCTTCTTATAAGCCTTTATTGTGTTCTCCTACTATGTGGTAACCTACTTTTATCTTTTTTTCCCTTAGACCCTAGTTCTATTTTGCCATTACTTTTTATTGTATATGTTTATGTAAGCTATTTCCTTTTTGGAAAGAGGAGGCTATAAACCAACAAATAAATATTTCTGTAAGCTTTAAATCCTCTATGGAAGTAGAAATGCTTTTTATTTACCATATAAAGTCTCTTTTGGATTCTTTGGTGATTGAGCCCCTTAACACATGGGAAGAGGTTTCATAAAAGCTGGCTACCCATCATGCCGCATTTTCAGTATTAGGGAAACCACTCTGTTTTCTTTGTTCATTTTTACTTTTGCCTATTCCATTTTAAGTAAAGAGCAGAGTTGTCTTTAGCAGCTCTGGACACCATCACCAGATATAAGAAGTCATTTAATCTCCATGCAAACCAAACTCAGCAACGATATTTGGGTTTCTTGCTTTAAGATAAGGCCTCATAATGAGTACCTAGGAGTCATTTGCACCCAGGGATGCAAGTCAACACTGCATTTTTCTACAACCTGAAACCATATCTTGGGTGTTAAATGATTATGCCTGGCAAAGTCAAAGGGCTGCTGAAGGTGTATCATCATAGAACGCTTCATTCCTATCATCATGACAATATGAAAATATCTTAGAGACAATAAGTGGCAAGCACACATCCTAGACACCCGGAGTTCCACCCAGTAAAAACCTGCTCTGGCTGTCTCTATATTCATGCTACACAACTGAGCTGGGTAGAAGTTTCTCTACTTAGGTTTCTCATGAGCCAAAAAAGACTCCTAATTCTTTCTTGAGAACATAAGCCGTTTCAAAGCCACCACATTTATTTACACGTTGAAAGAAAATAAAACTGAGAAAGATACATCTTGAGAGTTACAAATGCAGACGCGGCTACACGCTAACAAAATGACACATTCGCAATATTCTTCAACAATTTCACTGGATACGATGATACAATTACACATTTTCTTGATTTAATGGCACTGTTTAAAAAGGTAAGAAGGGACAATAACTATATAGATTGCTTGTCACTGTCTAGAATTTGATGGAAGAACCACTGAGTCAGAGTTGTAGGACAAAAGCAGAGTGTTCGGTTTGCACTTAATTAAGGATGTGTGTGTGTGTGTGTGTGTGTGTGTAAAAGATTAAGGAGGTACTTAATTGAATAACTTTGAGTACATTTACACTGTATGTCACCAGTGAGCAGCCCATACCCCATAACTGAAAGAGGGCACTGAAGAAACTTGGGAAGAGTTATGTCTCAGGACCCCCAACTACCTTTTTAGAACTTAGAACATTAATTGGGTTGGAAAACCTTTCCCAAAGTTTTAGCATAGATTTTCCCCCTCATTCTTTAGGCATTTCAAAACACACCATGCCCTATCAAATTATTTCCATGTTAACCCAGAACTATTTCTGAATTTGTTTTGAACTCCAAATACACTCATTGGTGCATGCAAAAATCACTTTGTAGTGATTTACCCTTCATCATTTCAGTTGCATAACGCCTTCAGATGAAGACTTCTGTCCCGTACCACGTGGCCTCTACCTGCGCATTGGACCCTTTGGGCGACACTGGACACAACCTCCACAGAGGGCAACAGCCCATTGTGGCCAGCGTCTACCCCTGGGCGAGTCAAGACGCTGGCTATTGATATGCACTTTACAACCCATCCCATGCAAAGGTGGGGAAGGACTGCACGGAAGTTGCCAGCTACTGTACCATGTCTGCACAGCTGCTTTATTCTACGGAGACCTCAATGATTTGCCTCAGATTTTAGGAAAAGACTGACTTGACGCCACAGTAGAGAAGCAGTGGAATCTATTGCTTTTAAGGAGAAACCAGCACAGGGTTAAAGCCAAATTTTTCTTGAACAGATGACATTTCAGATGGCCACACTATTCCAGATGCATCAATTTCCTTGAAAATCCAATCCATATATGTGCATATGCTGTGCTGGCAGGAGGACTGACTGAAATGGCCAAGACCCAAGAGCTAATATTCTTTTGGCCAGAATAATGCAATTATTATTTTCCTAGCTATCACTCTAAGCATACAGAGCCATCTGTTATGCAAAGCAAACGTACACATCTCAATTACAGAGAATGCAGTTGCCTTGACAGAATCTGCATTACACCACTAACCAGGGCTGTAAAATGTGTTTTGAGCGAGTACATAATGGATGCTTTTCGGGAGTTCCCTAATTAGCATTTACCTGCTTAAACTAATTATTCATCCTTCTTCTTCACTGGCTTATTAAACTTTGCTGGAGAGTCTGCACAAAACAGATGAATACGGGCATTGCAGAACAACAAACAGTGGGGTTTCCAGTTCTGTACAGCATTAATATGGTGGCGCCCCAATTTCAACACTGGAGATTCTCAATTCTAGGTCCCAAACAGATTAAGACAAGGCTTACAGTCTATTAAAAGCCATTAGAAAACCAGAGATTTCAACAAGACGCAAGAATACTAACATCGAGTTGACGGCAGCCCAGCTTCTATCATTTGGTTTGCTCAAGTTTACATAAAATAGAATTGCTAGATACACTACAGCCAATAGCTTGCATGTCCTTAAAGGAAGAGTTAATGGCCCCCTGCTTGGATTCTCAAAAGCAAATAATTAAATTTGGCAGTGTTTCTCCTCCTCCCCCAACCCTCCTCAAATGCCAGATATGTCTCTCTATTATTTCCCAATGTCTTTCTTGATTTAGCTATTACCCAGCAAAATCACTAACGGCCAAAATGTTCCAACCATGCTGGCTGCCTCCTTAGAGCAGTGCCAACTCTCAGAAGCCGTGAGTTTAGGGTGAGTCCTGCCTAAGAGGAGAGAGACAAATCTTATCTCCATCTTTAGCTCAAAGGGGAAACTGAATGAGAAGTAGATTATCCAGCTTGGCAGATCATCACATACATACAAAATCCCTCCCACCGAGGCTGTGTTTTTCTCATGCCAAACCACCAGATGAAAAGGGTCAAGCTCAGCCAATCACCTGTGTGGGCACACATACCCAGATGTTTAGCATTTTTATGGAGAAAACATCTGGATAATTAGTGGAACTGCAAACTTTTCTTCAGGGTATTTTGGCATTCCGTAGCTGCAGCCTGTGTCTGGGAATCCAACGAAAGTCAAATTTTTGTGTTCCAGGGGAATCTCAAGAACTGACATCTAGGATTTTTTCCCTTGCCCCATCTGCCTCCATCTTCTTTTCTTTTCACCTCTGACAGACACATGTAGGTAATTAAACCGCAAATAATGAAAGAGTATCCTATTTTATGAAATTGTCTTTCCGCATTAGGAAATATTTGCAAAGGCAGCAAAATACGTCCTTGCAGGAACCCTCCCTGCAACACATTTTAATGGTCTCTTTCAGCATTTCTTGACTCCAAATGACTCCCTGTCATTGTGTCAGCTCCCAGGACAATGCAGGGTCCTCCATAAACATCCAGTAATAGGACACAAGGGAAGCACTATTAGTGTGTCCCTCTCCTACCGGGCACAGAGGTTTCAAAGTTCAAAACAACCAAGGGAAGAAACTTCATTTGTTCTCGATAAATTAATAATGATCCTTGGGGGGTGGGGAGGGGGACTAAAGTTTTGAGCACAGGTTGATTCTGAACATTCCGAACTGACATACAATTTTCTCACTGACTTCGTGATCAGAGTCAGGTAGAGCCATTTAAAGAATAAATTGCGTAATTCACGCTAAAGAGAGTATCTGCTGAAGAAGGAAAGACATGAGGCTGAAGGAGCCTTCACAACTGCTGTCAAGAATCAAATTGTCTTACTTACTTGCGAGAGGCCTAGGTAGATGGAGACTGTTTCAGAAATGTACAAAAATTTTCCTTCTTGATTTAGTGCAAATACAAAGCCATCCAGGGACTGCAGAAAAAAATAAATATATAAATAGGTTAATAAGTATATATCGTGGGGATTTAGTTAATAAGGCATCTGATGCAAAGTAACACATAACCAAATTTAAGACCACTTTTTCCTTCATGTTTAACACAATCCTAAGATCTTTACTGCATTACACATGAACAAATGAAAGGTCTGAATTAAGACCACAAGCTCTCCCTTATTCCAGGAACTTCCTTATGTCTCTGTCATTTTGATCAAGATGCATTACATTTATATATAAAATCAAGTCATGTTGATTTTATGAGATGTTGCCTTTATTTTTTTGGATTCAGTAGTTACTGAGATTAAATCAGCATGATTATTAAATAGCTGAACAGGAATGAAAATTGTCATGGGATAAGAGAAAAAAAAGAGTTCTTATACGAAGAGTGAGTAAAATCACCACTTGAGCTCCTATGGACATCAATAATTTGCTAATTAATAGAGGATTATTCTCTCCTCACTCCCAGTGCCTATTGTGTTAGAACAAACAGGGCAAGTCAATATATTATGGGTGAATGTTTACAGGCTAAAGCCTTACAAACTGTGATCCTTCTTTTGCAAAACTCTGTATTAAAGTTTTATTTGATAGATCTAGTTTCTACTACAACTCCTGAAGTGGAAAGAAAAGAAGAAGAGGGGGTGGGGGAGGAGGACGAAGGATGCTGCACATCATCTGTAACTCCTGAAACTTTAGTCCACTTTTCAAAGGGAGGGCTTCATTTTCAGTTTGATGAATGGTGTAAATCATCGTGGACTCCAACTGCAAGATACCACTCAAATTGAGAATAGATTTGTTTTGAAATTCTTGCAATCCAAGTGCATTTTATACGTTCCATCATCCTCCTGTCTTGTGTTTTGCTTTATTTATTTATTTTTAACCAGGTAGGTTGCACAAGTATTGCTTGCCCCAAAAAAGAAGTTTTAAAGATTAGTGGTATTTACAAAGGAATTTGAAAATACAGGGAATCCTCACTGGGAACAAGGTATGGGGCAACATTAAACTAATGTCATAATTTTTAAATACAGAAAGGTGGAAGAAGCATGTAAAATTCAGGTAGAAAAATACACTGCCTCAAATCTCAGGAATAATTTCAGCCTCTTAAAATACTGAACTTTTTCAGAGTTATATATGTATAACATACATATATATGCATTTAATATATATGGATATATTAAATACATGTATTTATATATATGTATGTATCGCTATGGGAATATGTGTTTGTGTGCGTGTGCATGAAATTTGGATTCCATGCTTCCTGATCTATTTTCACAGCCCCACTGGTCAGAAACTATGGGTAGCACCCAACCACCTCCTCTGATTTTGTGGCTTCTGAAAACAATTCAAAAGTCACATTGTATTGCCCCACATAAAAGCAAATTACACGATAGACAAGGTTTTGGTCAAGACAGTACAACAATAAGAGCTTGCATTTATTATGCGCTAAGCAGTTTGCGTGTATTGTCTCTTTTAATTTTCACAAGCACCATTTGAGGTAATTATATTATTATCCACATTTTACATACAAGGAAATTGAGGCTTAGCGAAGTTAGGCAATATGCCTGACCCTAGCAAGTGATGAAGTTACGATTCAAACTCATGAATGAGACAGTCAGACTCATTCACTATACTGCCTTGCCTTCCACTAAAAATAAAGATTCTCTACTTGATACGAGTACATTAATGAAAAGATAAATCGGATAGCATTTCTGAAGTTAAAATATTTGTATTAAGAGGCAGCCTATAACTTCTTAAAAATCATCCCTTGTTTTTGAATGATTCGTTCCAATGATAGAATCCTACCATTAGGAGACAAATGAGAAATGGGATGACAAGAGAGTTCATAAGTCACTTCCACAAGAGGTCACCTGGTTACCTTTGCTCTGTAATATCTCCCTGGAAGCATCTAGAGGACAGGGAGTGAAACACTGTCTAAGAGAACTGTACTCAATGTCTTTGACAAAACTGTCAAACCCTCTGAGGCCTTGTGAGAGCCAAACTTTCAAGCTTCAGGTGTGGTGCAATGGAAGCTTACTCGGAACCAAAAGTGCAAAAGGATAGAAGTTTCCTTTGCAGAAGTTTGGGAAGCATCTCATTTCAACATGTCTTCACCTCAAGCAAGACATCTCCTAAGGATGACTCATGAGGATTAAGACTCCCTCTTTTGACCTTCCCCAGGGGAGAGAAGGGCCTGGTTAGGTTTTCCATTCAACCTAAGAGCCATGGTCTGGTATATAATCACAGAGAGCTGTGTAAGCCATCTTCCCAAACCCTAAAATGCCACTATCAGATTAGAGGGACACACAGAGAGAGATCACAAGGGAACTTCTATGAGGACAAGTGACAATCAGAAAGCTAAATGAGAGCAGAAGAAAGGATTAATGGAGATGGCACAGAGATGACCCCCTGTAGTCTAAACTCTCATTTTTCAAGTGAGGAAATGTCAGCACAGAGAGGCTAAGTGGCTGGGTAAGACCATACAGCCAGCTAGTGGCAGAGCCAGGATTAAATATGCCGCCTCCCATAGTATTATTAAAGCACTGATGACGTTGTATCATCCTGGTCGGCTTATTCAATTCCCAAGGAGACTGAATTTCTCTACAGCGAGGCAATGTCTTATTTATCTTTAGCCAACGCTTAACAGTTGTTCAACTAACACTTAGTAAATCCAATTCTACCTCCAAGCCCAAAGCTCCTTCCCTCACATCACACGTGCTAGAATTCAGTAAGAGAAATGGTAATTATTTCCTCCAAGAGTTCTGTTTATGGAGCTATTAGATTATTTGCAGATTCTGATGCCACAGATGTCTAACATAGTCTGGGATAGCTCCTGACGTTTGGAAGATCAGAGTTAGACTGGATCCTTTCATAGTCTTCCAAAATACCCAGTGCTATTCATTTGCCACTGAAACACATCCTTTACTTTCTCACTGAAAGGGATTATGATTTTTTTTTGAAAGTAGTTTCATATCTCATGTATTTACTAAAATACTAGAGGAAGTTTGGGCACCATAGCAGGGAAGAGGAGTATCTGGAGGCTAAACATCTGATACTATTAAGCGGTGGCAATCTAAGAACTGGCCAGTTTTGTTTGGCAAAAACAGAAGCTTCGACACATGCTCCAATTTCCTGGTGAGATTAAAATGAGGCTCTGTCTACATGACTCAAAACATCCAGTCAATTCAATTAAAAATAGCCAGTTTGGTGGGGGGAAGAAACAACTAGTCAGGTTAGTTGTTTGTCATTGCAAAGATAAACAAAACAAGTTAGTTAACCATATTGTTCACTTTTATGCTTATCATTTCAGTCAATTATATCTATAGTATGAGATGAAGATCAATAACTCAGTTATAATTACATTTCAAATAAAGAATGAATATGAAACCAGGTCTCCAGCAGGTTGGCAAGGTCGCTCTTCGCGTAGCCATTACCTTCTGATTCAGGGTCATCCCTGTCTATAGTTAGCTGTATTTTGCCACTTAGAAAAATTTTTAAGAGTGGCATCAATATTGGTTTAATGTGGGTGTCTTAATTTTAAAAGGTGGGAGGAGGAAGGAAACATTCAATTAGTTAGTCTTGGGAACCAAATACGATTAATCTTAAAGTTTGGTGGAAATTTAAAAAATTTTGAGTCAAGAAACTGCTATATACCGAGCTGTTTCAATCACTGCAGGCTACCTTTTAATTTTTTTTTTTAAAAAACTGCCCAGTTTTCAACAGGCGCCAATTAAGATTCTGGGGTCAAAGGGTTAATTACATCTTCTTACTCAGTATGCAGAATTTTCTGATTATTAACTAAGGTTGGATTAAGATGAAAAAGAATCTACACAAATGTTAATGCTAGTCCCTCCTTGAGAAGATTTATTATAAAGCCACGCTGAAAGCTATCTGCTTTCCTCAAAGCAGATGGAGAAAAAAATCTTAGAAGAAACAGCAAAACAGACATTTTCAAGGCATGCGAATGTCTGATTCATCAAGACAGTGTTCTTATTACTAAAACCAGTTCTTAGCCATCTCGACAGGGCTGTTGGGAGATTTTCTTTGTCACAACCCAGTAAGTCTACGAGGTATGTGTGCAGCAATGAGGCTTGGATACAGAAGTCAGGAGCTATAACATCTCTGAATAATAATGCCCGTAATTATAATTTATATCCCCTGACATCAGTGTAACACATAAACTGTAAGGCACAGTTTCTTAACCCCAAAAGCTGAGTGCCTCTAACAGTATTTGTCAAATAATGAGGCTATTTCTTTCCAGGGTATGAAACTAACTATAGCTTCATGATTGAAGGTATACTAATGTTTAATGCATTGTGCTAAATGGATTTATAGTCGTCAAAGTTGTTTTATCTCTGCTTTCTTTTTTTTTCCTGCATATTTCACTGTAGCCAAATTTCAGAGTGAAATCTTACTATCGTGCCCTTATAGAGACAATTCTCATGTGTAGGACTACTCTGAAATTAGTGGTTTTTTTCTACTACATTCCAATGTAGAAGAGGAAAAAAGAAATCACCCCAAACTCTTTTCCTATGACCTAACTCCAGTTAGAGTGAAGAATTACCAGTAGGCTAGGTTATTTTAATGACAGATTATTTTAAACTAAGCCTTCACCATCTGTTCCACCCCCTAATTATGAATGCAAAAAGAACATATTTCACAATTACATCAGTAAAAAAGTAAGATATACGTGATTTAAATGCAAGTGTGTGCTCCGTGTCCTATGCACTATGCATCTGTGATGTTCTTCTACTTCAGGCTTAGGTTATGGAGAAAATACCCACCCGTGATAAAGTACAGTCTCTGACACACTCAACGTTCCCTCCAAACCTAGCGTTTTTCATTGTCATGACATAATTCTGTTAGGACAAGAGCAGAACATGAATTTGAGCACAATGCTTGCCAGCCATTAGATACGGGCACTTTATAACTGCTACAGTGGCTTTGCTGTTAACAAGGAGAGGCTGTGTGAGGAAATCCT